CTGTCCCTGCCCGGGGGCAGCAGGGCCAGGCCCAGCGGAGCAGCTGCTGCCAGGGCCCCTGCCAGGGTTGCCGGGGCTGCCGGGCTCTGTTATCCACCAACAGCCTTTGAAGTCAGGGCCCAGGAATGTCCCCGTGCCAGGGAGGGAGGGACGGGGAGCCCAGAGCCAGCAGAGCCACCTGAGCATCCCGGGGCACATCCCCGGCGCGGGGACACGCAGCAGGGCCAGCGGGGACTCACGGAGCCACAGAGTCCACAGAATTCACAGAATCCACAAATTCACAGAATCCATAGAACTCACAGAATCCACAGAATCACAGAATTCATAGAACTCACAGAGTCCACAGAATCACAGAATCAGAGAATCAGAATATTCACAAATCCACAGAATCCACAGAACTCACAGAATCCACAGAATCACAGAATTCACAAATTCACAGAATCTACAGAATCCACAAATTCACAGAACTCACAGAATCACAGAATCCACAGAATTCACAGAATCCCAGAATTCACAGAACTCACAGAATTCTCAGAATGAAATCACAGAATCACAGAATTCTCAGAATGAATTCACAGAATCCACAGAATTCTCAGAATGAATTCACAGAATCCACAGAATTCCAGGTTGGAAGAGCCCTTCAAGACCATCGAGTCCAAGTCTCAACTCAACCCTGGCCCCCAGAGCCACATCCAGGCTTTGTTAAACACCCCCAGGGATGGGGACTCCAGCACCGCCCTGGGCAGCCATTCCAGAGCTTTATCCCCTTTCTGTAAAGCACTTCATCACCTTTCTGTAAAACACTTTTCCCCAACATCCAGCCTGAATTTCCCCACTGGAGGGGAATGAGGCGTTCCCGGAGGAACTGAGGCCTGACCTTGTTATGGCGCAGCTGGAGCCACCCAGCAGAGCCAATTTTCCATTTTTCATCCATTTTTCATCCATTTTTTGTCCATTCTCCACCCATTCCAGGGCTGAGATGTGGTTTCCCCCCCTCTCTGGCCACACCACCCTCAGCCTGCATTGCAGCACCCTGAGCTCCCCCAGGCCATTCCCGGGTCACAGCTCCCGGGGCCACATTCCAGCCTTTTCCTGACAGGGCCACCCGCTGGGAGCCCTCTGGACAGACAGACAGACAGACAGACAGCTGGGACGTGTCCGTCCTGCAGACCATGGGGTCAGGCTTCTGAGCTCTCATGTTAAAAAAATTCCCTTCTGGAAAAAGGAGCACAAGGCCCGGGCTGTGTGCGTGGGGAACGCAGGACTCTGGACTTGGAGCTGGGCCCTTCTCTTATCAACAGGACAGATGTGGTGGCCAGAGGGTCCCCAGGGTGCCCAGAGCAGCAGCTCCAGCCCCCTCTGCTCCTTCCTTCCACCCTCGGCCTGCTCTGGGATGGATTCCAGAGCTCCTCCGAAGGGTTCCCACGCCTGCAGGGGCTGGAATGGCCAAAATCCTCCCCTGGGGATGGAGCAAGGCTGTCAGCACTCAGCACAGGCCGTGGAAACACCAGAGCCCAGCGCTCCCAGTGCTCCCAGAGCTCCCAGTGCCCTGGGAGGCTCCCGTGGGATGCTCCTGAGGAGGAGGAGGATGAGGAGGGATAATGCAGCAGCAGGAATGTCCCTCACCCTCCTAAAGGTTTCCTCTACTCCTCTTTTCCCCAGGGTGGAAAATGCCAGCCTGAAGGACCAAACGTCCATGGAAAAGGAGGATCTGGGCTGGGAATGTCCCCACCATCCACAGCCTCCCCATGCCAGAGCCTGAAACCCCAAACCCGGAGCAGGGACGTGGCTGGGGCAGCCTGGCAGCCCCAGGGAGCCAAGCACTCCCAGAAAAGGCTGGAAAAGGCTGGAAAAGTGCAGGGTCTGAGCAGGGCTGGGAGCAATGGAAAACCAGTTCCAGCTGGGATTTCAGTGCCTGGGAACTGGGGCTTCCACGAGCCACAGCAGCATGGAAGGGCCAGCTGCAGGCAGGAGAGGCTTTGGGATGCAGGGTTTAAAGGGAATTTGGCAGGGATGCTCAGTGTGGAGCAGAGCAAACCCCTCCCAAACCTCCCAGCAGTTTTTATCCATCACTCCCAAGTGGGAGAATCCTCTTGTGTCCAAAGGGATTTGGACATGGAATCCTGACAGGTTCCTGGTGCTGCATCCCCAAAAGAGATCCATGCCACTGCAGCAGCAGGGAAATTCCAGCTCCTTCTCCCTCCCCTGAGCAAATCCTGGGCAAGCAGAGCAGGAACCTGGGCCTGTCTGCCCAAGGCAGGAAAAAGAAGGCAGCAGGATTGGGATTAAAGCAGCTCTGGACTAAAAAATAGCCCTGCACCAAAAAAGTATATCTGGACCCAAAAAAACAGCCCTGGACCCCAAAATCCAGCCCTGGACCCCAAAAACCAGCCCTGGCCCCAAACCCAGCCCAGCCCCCAGTGTTTTCCTGAGTGAGTGGGTGGGAAAATCCAGCCTTTGATGTTCCACTGAGCGGCTCCAGAACAAAGCTGGGCCACGGGAGATAAAAACACCAAACAAACCTCGCCACGGGACACATCCGGGAGATGGGGTGGGAAAGAATTCCCTGGCCATGGAGGGCACGGCTGCCCCAGCGCCGTGGAAAAACCACAGCACAGCTGCTTTCCTCTCCCAGCAAAGCAGGAGAGCCCCAAACCCAGGACGGTGGGAAAAACCATCCTGAAAAAGCTGCTCTGGGCAAGGCAGGTGCCTCCCCAGTGCTCCCTGTGCATGCCTTGGTGAGCTCTGGCATTGCCCAAATTCCCTGGAATTGAGGCACCACGGTGCCTTCCTGATATTGCCCCAACATCCCTGGAAAGTGCCCAAATTCCCTGGAGCAGGCAGCAGTGGCACCTCCCAAAAATTCCTTTTGCATCCCTTGAAATTGCCCAAATTCCCTGGAAATGAGGTACCAGTGGTGCCTTCCTGATATTCCCCTAACTTCCCTGGAAATTGCCCAAATTCCCTGGAATTGAGGCACCAGTGGTGCCCCCCAGTATCCCACTTACACCCCTGGAAGTTCCCCAAATTCCATGGAAGAAGCACCAATGGGGCTCCTCAATATCCCCCTCACAATTCTGGAAATTGCCCAAATTTCCTGGAAGAGGCACCAGCAGTGCCTCCCTGATTTCCCTTCACACCCCTTGGCGAGCTCTGGCATTGCCCAAATTCCCTGGAATCGAGGAACCAGTGATAATCCTATTAATCCTCTCACACCCCTGGAAATTGCCCAAATTCCCTGGAGCAGGCAGCAGTGGCACCTCCCCAAAATTCCTCATGCATCCCCTGAAAATGCCCAAATTCCCTGGAATTGAGGCACCAGTGGTGCCTCCCCAGTATCCCACTCACACCCCTGGACGTTCCCCAAATTCCATGGAAGAGGCACCAATGCTGCTCCTCAACATCCTCCTCACAATTCTGGAAATTGCCCAAATTCCCTGCAAAAGGCACCAGTGGGGCTCCCCAATATTCCCCTGGAAACCCCCCAAATTCCCCAGGACTGAGGCACCAATGATAATGATCCTCTCACACCCCTGGAAAGTGCCCAAATTCCCTGGAGCAGGCAGCAGTGGCACCTCCCCAAAATTCCTCCTGCATCCCTTGAAATTCCCCGAATTCCCTGGAACGGAGGCACCAGTGGGGCTCCCCCGGAAAGCCCAAATTCCACTTACACCCCTGGAAATTGCCCAAATTCCCTGGAGTTTCTCCCAAGCCCTGGCACTGCCCAGATTCCTGGGAAGTGCCCGGAGCTGCTGGCAGGGCCCCAAGGGGAGGCTGCCCTGGATCCCAGGGATGCATTGCTGGAATTCCAGGCGGGCAGGGCAGCATCCGTGCCAGGACAGGGCATGGGAACACAGCTCGGGCAGGGGGAACTGGGCACAGACTGGGCACAGACTGGGCAGGGGGAACTGGGCACGGACTGGGCAGAGAGAAACTGGTCAGGCCAGAGCTACTGGGCAAAAACTGGTCAGGGCTACTGGGCAGAGAGTGACCAGTCCAGGGATGCTGGACAGAGAGAAACTGGTCAGGCCAGGGCTACTGGGCAGAGAGAAACTGGGCAGAGACTGGTCAGGGCTACTGGGCAGAGAGTGACCAGTCCAGAACTGGGCAGAGAGAAACTGGTCAGGGCTACTGGGCAGAGAGTGACCAGTCCAGGGATGCTGGACAGAGAGAAACTGGTCAGGGTTACTGGGCAGAGAGTGACCAGTCCAGAGCTACTGGGCAGAGAGAAACTGGTCAGGCCAGGGCTACTGGGCAGAGAGTGACCAGTCCAGAACTGGGCAGAGAGAAACTGGTCAGGGTTACTGGGCAGAGAGTGACCAGTCCAGGGATGCTGGACAGAGAGAAACTGGGCAGTCCAGAGCTACTGGGCAGGAGGAAACTGGGCAGAGACTGGTCAGGGCTACTGGGAAAAGAACTGACCAGTCCAGGTCTACTGGGCAGGGGAAAACTGGTCAGGGCTACTGGGCAAACAACTGACCAGTGCAGGGCTCCTGGGCAGAGAGTGACCAGTCCAGAACTGGGCAGAGAGAAACTGGTCAGGGCTACTGGGCAGAGAGTGACCAGTCCAGGGATGCTGGACAGAGAGAAACTGGTCAGTGCAGGGCTCCTGGGCAGGGGGAATGGCCTGGCAGCCTCGGGAGCTGAGCCTGCAGGAAGTGCTGCAGGATGTCCCAGCCTCCCACTCCAGATTAAAATTCCACAGGAATTTGCTCAACAAATGGAGCCTCTCAGCTCCTGCCACCAGCCCGGGGACGTTTCACATTTCTGCCACAGGGAGGGAGGGAAGGGACCGTGGGGCTTGGGGGGGACAGGGATAGGGCAGGGCAGGGATCCTAAATCGTCACCTGCCCATCATCCACCGACCCCAAAATCAGTGCCACCACCCAAAATCACAAAAACCAGGACAACGCCCCTCAACCACCACCCCTGCCCATCCAGGGGCTGGGAACCCCACAAAAAATCCCAAAAAACCCCAAAAAACCCCAGAACAGCCTCACCTTCCACGCAGTGCTCCACCTCCTCCAGGTTGCGCAGGGTGATGCGCATCAGGCTGGAGTTGAGCATGAGCTCGTTGCGGTGCGCCGGCCACAGCGCCTGCGGCGCGGGGTTGACGAAGAAGATGCGCGTGTCCCCCGTGGCCACCTGGTTGTCGCAGATCAGGGGGTCCCCGAAGCCCCCGATCACCACCTTGTTGCCCCCGTCCAGCAGGATCTCGTGGGTGACGATGTCCTTGCCCTTCAGGTAGCGCCAGACCCGCACCTGCCACGGGGACGGGAGAGGGGAGAGGTCACCGCGTTGCTGTGGGTTGGGGCAGCCTGTTGTGCTCTCTGGGCTCCTCCTTCCTCTTCCTGGGTTCCTCTTTTCCCTCTCTGGACTCTCATTTTCCCTTCCTGAGCCATTATTTCCCCTCCCTGGGATACTATTTCCCCTCTCTGGGCTCCTCTTTCCCCTCCCTGGGCTCCTCTTGCCCTTCCTGAACTCCTCTTTCCCCTCCCTGGGCTCCTCTTTCCTCTTCCTGGGTTCCTGTTTTCCTCCCTGGGCTCCTCTTTTCCCTCTCTGGACTCTCATTTTCCTTTCCTGAGCTGTTCTTTCCCCTCCCTGGGATCCTATTTCCCCTCTCAGGGTTCCTCTTTCCCCTTCTTGGGTTCCTGTTTTCCTCCCTGGACTCCTCTTTCCTCTTCTGGGCTCCCATTTCCTCTCCCTGGACTCCTCTTTCCCCTCCCTGGTCTCTCCTTGCCCTTCCTGGACTCCTCTTTTCCCTCCCTGGTCTCCCCTTTTCCCTTCCTGAGCCTTTCTTTCCCCTCTCTGGGCTCCCCTTTCCCCTCCTGGGCTCCTGGTGGCAAGGAACCATTCCCAGTTTTCTGCCTGTGCTCCAGGTGTCCCCCCCAGACCCGAGGGGCTGTTCAGACCCAGAGATTTCTCCCCAGTGCCAAATTCCTCGCTGAGCTCACAGAGTTCAAACCAGGGGCTGAAACACAAATCCTGTGATCCCTGATCAACCTCGCAAATTTAATTTTTTTTTGTTTTGTTTTGGGTTTTTTTTTTAGGGGGGTTTATGGTTGGGTTTTTTTGGGTTCTTTTTCTTGGGGGGGGGAGTTTTGGTTTGGCTTTTTTGTTTGTTTGTTTGGGTGGGTTTTTTTTGTTTGTTTGGTTGGTTTTTTTAGCCTGAGCTCCAGAATTTCAGCCCTGATGGAAAAGGCTTCAAAGCTCACACTGAGCCTGAGCCAAGCTCCCCCAGCGTGTCCCTGGCAGGCTGGAAGGACGGGAACGGGGTCATTCCCACATTCCCTGTGGCCACGGAGCCGCCTGCTCAGCCCCACCTGCCAAGCAGGAAAAGGGAATAAATTCAGCACAGAGTCAGCGCTGCCTGTGCCCTGCAGGCACAAACCAAGGCGAAGAACCGAGCTGAGGAGTTCATCTCCCCCTGCTCTCCTCACACTTTCTCCTGCTGGTGAAACATTGGGAGCAGGACCTCAGGCTTGGGGGGTCTGAGCTCTGAGGCAGCGCAGCCGCCCAAGAAAAGCAATAAATTACCCCAATTATCAACCCAACAACTGCACCCTCCCTGCCCTGCTGCATACCTGAGCCGCGGGAGCAGCCCAGGTGCAGGCAGGGCTGGGACAGCTCCTCTGGGGCCGCACATGCCCCGGCTGCTCCCGGGCGTGGAGAGCTCAGCCACGGCTCCACTCTGCCCCATGCTCCAGCAGCAGAGCTGGGGCACCCGGGGCTGAGCCACCCCAAAGCTACAGCATTTACAAACAGAGAAAATACAGAATGGTAAAAATAGGATTATAAAAGTATAATTTAAAAATAGGATTATAAAAGTATAATTTAAAAAATAGAATTATAAAAGTATAATTTAAAAATAGGATTATAAAAGTATAATTTAAAAATAGGATTTAAAAATATAATTTAAAAATAGGATTTAAAACTAGAATTATAAATATAGAATTTTCCATCTATTTTAAAATATATTTTAAGTATATTTTAATTAAATATATTTAAATATATTTTAAAATTTTAAATATAGAATTTTAAAATAGAAGTATAAAAATATAATTTAAAAATAGAATGATAAAAATAGAATGATAAAAACAGAATTATAAAAATAGAATTATCATAAAATAGAATTATCATAAAAATAGAATTATCATAAAAACTAGAATTATTATAAAAACTAGAATTATTATAAAAACTAGAATTATTATAAAAACTAGAATCATTACAAAAACTAGAATTATTATAAAAATGTATTTTTACGAAAATGCCTTTTCATAAAAAATAAATGATAATGGAAAAATTCCTAGGTGGGATGTGTCCCTCCCTGCACATCCCAGATCCAAGCTGATGGGGAGGAACAGGGACAGGGGCAAAGTTTTGCTGCCCCGAGGTCTCCATGGGATTTTCTCTCCTCTGTGGTCCTCCAGCACAAGCCCGGCTCCCAGCAGGGTGAACGGAGCGCTTAAACCCCAAATCCCACCAGAGAGGGCAGAAATCTCCCTGAAATTTGCTGAGGTTTAACTCAGGCAAACCCCACTCGCACTCATCCTCCTCCTCATCCTCCCCTGGAGCGAGGAAGGAGCAGGGCCTGCATTTCCATGGACATTTGGGACTGAGCGGGGCCTGAAAGGGACAGCTCTGGTTTCTACTGGCTGGGAGCAGGGACAGCACCTGAGGGAACACCTGAAGGAACGGGCCAGGAGGGGTTTGGGATGGAGAGAGGTTTGGGATGGAGAGAGGTTTAGGTTTGGGATGGAGAGGTTCAGGATGAAGATATCTAGGTTGGAGAGGTTTGGGTTCAGGATGGAGAGGTTCAGGATGGAGAGGTTTGTGTTCAGGATGGAGAGGTTTAGATTTAGGATGGAGAGGTTTAGATTTAGGATGGAGAGGTTTGGGTTCAGGGTGGAGAGGTTTAGGATTGAGAGAGGTTCAGGATGGAGAGGTTTGGGTTCAGGGTGGAGAGGTTTGGGATGGAGACCAGGACATTTCCTTCCCCCAGAGGCTGCTGGGACACTGGAATTTCCCCAGTTGCCCCCAGGGATGCCCAGGTGGGATTTTTGCAGCGAAAGGAGCCCGATAAGAGCCCGAGGAGCCTCCCTGCCCTGACCCCACAGAAACCGCGGCACCCCCAGCACTCCCAGCCCCAGGGGCCAGCCCAGGTGAGCCTGGGGAGGGTGTGCAGGGCACAGCCCCACTCTGGGAAGGTGCACAGGGCACAGCCCCGCTCCCAGCCAGCCCAGGTGAGCCTGGGGAAGGTGTTCAGGGCACAGCCCCGCTCCCAGCCAGCCCAGGTGAGCCTGGGGAGGGTGCACAGGGCACAGCCCCGCTCCCAGCCAGCCCAGGTGAGCCTGGGGAAGGTGCTCAGGGCACAGCCCCGCTCCCAGCCAGCCCTGGGGAAGGTGCACAGGGCACAGCCCCGCTCCCAGCCAGCCCAGGTGAGCCTGGGGAAGGTGTTCAGGGCACAGCCCCGCTCCCAGCCAGCCCAGGTGAGCCTGGGGAGGGTGCACAGGGCACAGCCCCGCTCCCAGCCAGCCCAGGTGAGCCTGGGGAAGGTGCTCAGGGCACAGCCCCGCTCCCAGCCAGCCCCGCTGCCTCCCCAGCCGCTCCTCCTGCCTCCCTGCCCGCAGTCAAGCCCAGACACCTTCCCCAGCCGCACCTCCTGCAGCCCCGGGGCAGGTGAGCAGCAAACCAGGGCAAAGACACAGCCAGACAAAGCAGGAAAAATAGGGAAAGAAAAAAACCAACAAAACCACCCCTCCTCCAGCAGCAGAAAACACAGCCCGGGGCTGCTCCGGCGTGCGGGGCATTTTCACAGCTCGGGGTTTGGGGTTTTGTTGGGTTTTTTTTTTTTTTGGGTGGGGAAAAAGCCGAATTCTCCTCCAGCTCCGCAGCAGATGGGGACTGGCGTTAATTGGCGTGGCTGGGGCGCTCCGAGGCAGGGCACAGAAACATCAGAGTCCGGCGGCCTCCTCCCCGCCCTAATGAATGGGCGAGCGCGGCTCCGCAGCCCGGCCGTCACCTGCGGGGCATCCCCTTCATCAGGCGCCGCAATCAAGACTTTGTCACCGCTGACTCACCGGCGGCAGCGAGCACCGCCGAGAAAAGGAAGGGAGGGAGGGAGAAAAAATGGGGCCGGGACCTGCTGGGAGGAGGACACTGCCCTGGAGAGCTCTGCTCCTCCGGAGAGAGCAGAAAACGCCGAGTTTCAAGGGGGTTTTAAAGCTCCGCGGAGGCACAACTTTGTCCAGGCACGGGTGTGTTTTAAAGGCAGGGGGAAAAGTTAAAACCCCAAAGATAAAAGGGGTTTCCAGCACGCCAGGGGGGTGCAGGCCATAGGAAGGAAGGGGACCACCTGTACAGAACATTCCTGAAGGAAAAGGCCGGGAAATGCCGGGACTGGTTGTGTAAAGCCAGGTGGGAAGTTGGAGCAAAGTCCCCTCTGGAGGAGCTGTCACCCGGGAGGGGAAGCACCAAAACGGGTCAGCAGGAAACTGTGGGAATTTTGGGAGATAAAAACCAGGATCAGCTCTGCTTCCACGAATTCTTGGGAGATAAGAGCCAGGATCAGCTCTGCTTCCACGAAATTTTGGGGAGTTTGGGAGAGAAAAGCCAGAATCAGCTCTGCTTCCACGAATTTTTGGGGAGTTTGGGAGAGAAAAGCCGGGATCAGCTTTGCTTCCACGAATTTTTGGGAATTTTGGGAGATAAAAGTCACTTTCAGCTCTGCTTCCAATCCTTCCCCCTCCCCTTTTTTGTCCCTCCCTGTGCCTTTTCCCTGCCCCTTCCCCAGGACCCAGCAATTCCCACAAAACCCCCCCAAAATCTGTGCTCCATTGTCCCGAACAGGATCCACATCCTCTTCCACACTTCCTAGGGCCCCCACAGAACCTGGATTTACCCTATAAATAGCAGCTGCCTCGCTAACCATGGGGACAGCCCAGAAAAAGGCGCTTCAGGGGGCAGGAAGGGACAATGCCAGCAGCAGCAGCAGCTTTGGGCAGGACTCAGAAACGGCACTCAGGAGTGCCAAATCCCTCGGGAAAAGGGCACGGCAGCCACTTCTTGGGAATTCTGTCAGCCCGTTCCTCCTGCCCCCAGCTCCCCTGGCAGCCCAGGCACGGCTGGCAGCTATTCCGGGCTGTTTGTCTAACATCAACTTCACATTTCTCCTCCCGCTGCTTATCTGGTGCTTATCTGCCTCTATCGAAGCGCTCAGCTGGGAGGGTTTGGGAAGAACAATGCCCCAAGCACGGAATTCACGGATCCCCACGCGCCGCTGCCTCAGGACCACCCAGCTCCAGCCAAACTGGGATTTTTGGGTGTGGGAGCTCCAGCCAAACTGGGATTTTTGGGTGTGGGAGCTCCCCACACTCTGCCTTTCCTCTGCAGATAAGGAAGAGGCTGACAGGAGATAACGGAGGGGGCTCCGAGGGCAGGACAGGAGGAATTGGGGCAGGAATTTCCTCAGCACAAGATCCTGGATTTCTCCCAGCTGCCCCGAGGGCAGTGCAAGGACAGCAGGAGCCAGGGGTCAGGTTTAATCCCGAGCTGCTGCTGCTGGAATTTAGGTTAAAAACAAAACAAAACCAAACCAAAACAAACTGCAGGCATGGCAAATGCACACAGTTCCCATTCCAAGACTTGGGAAGATGCGAGGAGGGCAATGAGCCAAGAGCTGCTGCAAAGCTGCACATCCCGAGTCACTGCAGTGACAGCAGATTCATCTGCTCCCAGCTCCTTGGGACACCCCAAATCCCATTCCAAAGCTGCTTTTCCCTGCAAAGACACCACGGAATGCCACTAAAAATGGCACAGGAAGGGCTGATGGGCAGGGAAAGGGACAGGGAGTTGCTGTCCTGTGAAAATTCCCGAATGTCACAGCACTGCCACAACGGGATGGGATGGGATGGGATGGGATGGGATGGGATGGGATGGGATGGGGTGAAAGCTTTCCTGCTTTCACTTTCACACCACTCCAAGGCTGGAATGATCTCTCAGGAACCTGTCCTGGCCCTTCTGTGCTCTTTGGAGAGCAGGAACGGGCAGGAGCAAAATCCCAAACTCCAGAGCAAGCAGCACAAACCTCACCCTGCTCAGGGAGAGGCAGGGAAGAGATTCCCTTCCCAGTGTGAGGAACTCAGATTGTGCTTCCCAGAACGGCACCACGGGCAGCCCCATCCCACTGCTGGCTGCTCCAGCTGGGGCTGGATTGCACCTTGCAAAGGCAGAGCTGCTTCTCCCATCCCAGCTTTTCCTTATCCCAGCTTCTCCTTATCCCAGCTTTTCCTTATCCCAGCTTTTCCTTATCCCAGCTTCTCCCCCATCCCAGCTTTCCCCATCCCAGCTTTTCCCCTATCCCAGCTTTTCCCCTATCCCAGCTTTTCCCCTATCCCAGCTTTTCCCCTATCCCAGCTTCTCCCATCCCAGCTTCTCCTTATCCCAGCTTCTCCCCCATCCCAGCTTTTCCCCCATCCCAGCTTTTCCCCCATCCCAGCTTTTCCCCCATCCCAGCTTTTCCTTATCCCAGCTTTTCCCATCCCAGCTTTCCCCATCCCATCTTTTCCTTATCCCAGCTTCTCCCATCCCAGCTTTCCCCATCCCAGCTTTCCCCATCCCAGCTTTTCCTTATCCCAGCTTTCCCCATCCCAGCCTCCTGCCCTGCTGCTGCAGGATGATTTTCCTGCCAGGCAGACTCACTGCGAGTCCGCAGCGGGGAGAAAAATGGGTTCATTTCTCACCCTGGCACTTCTGCCTCGCCACCAGCGCCCCTGGGCCACCTCCCGTGGCCACCTCGCTCCGGCCTCAGGTGGCCACATCCATCTGAGCCCCAGCACGGGCACAGCTCATTAATGCTCGGCGCAGCACCCAGGATGTGCCAGACACGCTGCAAACAGACGGTGCCGGGGGGGCTGCGAGCTGCAGATGGGTCGGGGGGCGCTGGCAGCGGGCAGGGGCTGGGGGATGCTCGGGGGATGCTCGGGGGATGCTCCAGAGCTTCGCAGGGAGAGTTCTGCGAAGGGAAAGTTCAAATTCTTCTCCTCCACCAAAGCATCGCCCCCGGCCCCGTAAAATCGGGGTTTTTAGGAGGAAAAGGGGAGTGAGGAGAAAAGGGAAAGGCAAGGGAGGAGCGTGTCCTTGCAAGCGAGATTCCTGCCCTGGCAAGGGTTAAGGCATCCGGCACGTTTTCTGTCAAGCGGGCGGATGGGATTTCAGGTTGCTCGGGACTCCAGCGTCTCTCCGCTTCGGGGGGAGATAAAAACCCCCAGAGCCCGAGGCCAGGTTGGTGGTTAAACAATAGCTCGGGCTGCAGGAAAACTCGAGATGCTGCTAAAGTCAACAGGAGAGGCTCCCAGCACCTCGCGGAAAGTTGGGAGGCAGCTCCGCATCGCGCCAGAGCCAAAGAGGGAAATGCCCATAAAAAGCAACCTCTGGAGATCCCCCCCACCCCCCCGGCCACACGGTAGCTGGAACCTCTCACAGCTTAAAAAAGAAAAAAGCCCCGATTCCAGCCCAAACCGCACGCGGGGCGAAAGTTCTACCTTGCACGAGTAGGTGTGGTGCACCGGGTCCACGTTCATGATCTCCTCCACCGTGCCCGTCAGCACCACGTTGGCCTCCTCCTCGCGGCGCTCCAGCTCCCGCTCGGGGCAGCCGGCCCGGGCCGGCCGTGCCAGCGGTGCCAGCAGCGCCAGCAGCGCCAGCAGCGTCGGTGCCAGCCGCGGCCCCATGGCGGTGGCGGTGCCGCCGGGCCCGGCAGACAAAGCGGCCCCGCTCGCAGGCAGCGCTGGCGCAGCAGCCGAAAGGGCCACTTTTGTTCCAGGGAGGTGAAAAGGAGGAAAGAAAGAGAGGGGAGGGAGGGAAAGGCAGGCAGCGAGGGGAGGGGAGAAGGAGGAAAATCCCAGGAGGAGGAGGAGGAGGAGGAGGAGGAGATCTGGAAGGCGCTCGGCGCTCGCTGCCGTGGCCCGGGAAGAAAGCGCGCAGATTTGCATGCAATCTGAATTGCTGATAAGGAGGGAGCGGGGGTTAGGGGGGAGAGAGGAGGGAGGAAGGGAGAAAGGAAGGGAGGAAGGCAGCGCGGCCGCCCGCCCTGCTGGCAGCGCTCGGTGCGAACGCCGCCCCCAGGAAAGGGAGCCGCGGTTAATGGATAATCAGCGCCGCAACGTGAGGAGACTTTTAAAGGTGTAGGGACCGCAGCCGGCCCCGCCACCCCCTCGCCGTGAGGGGCAGCTGTCCCCAGCCCTGGCCCGGGGTCTCCCTGGCTCCGTCCCGCACCCCCGAGATGCCCAAAGTGGGGGTTTGTCCCTCCCTGTCGCCCCCACTGTGAGTGGCGGCTGTCCCCAGCCCTTTTCTTGGCTGTCCTCTCTCCATCCTGCACCCTGCGGTGCTCAAAAAGGGGTGGCATTTCCCTCCCTGTCACCCCCAGCCCTGGCCCGGGGTGTCCCTGGCTCCATCCCGCACCCCCGAGGTGCTCAAAGAGGGGTAGCACCCCAGCATTTCCCTCTCTGTCACCCCCACTATGAGTGCCAGCTGTCCCCAGCCCTGTCCCGGAGTGTCCCTCACTCCATCCCGCACCCCTGAGGTGCTCAAAGAGCGGTGACACCCCGGCATTTCCCTCCCTGTCACCCCCAATTCCACCCCAAAGATGCTCCCGTGTTTTCCGCACAGGGAAACTGAGGCAGGGCTGGTCCTGCTTTGCTGGGACCCCACAGATCCATCCCTGGGCACAGGGGTGACCCGCACTGGGGACAGGAGCTGTGACAGAGCCACCCGTGGGACCATGGAGTGGCTGGAAAATAACTTTAAAATCAACTCATCGCACCCCTTTCTCCACCCCAGGCCGTCCCAAGCCCCGTGGCCCCGCTCCCCGGGGGCTGCAGGGTGATTTCCCCACATGTCCCAGCAATTAGGGCAGATAGAAAATGAAAAGTTAAAAAGTTAAGTGGCACCGGGGGAGGGATGTTGTTTGTGCCCTCCATAAATCAGCCGGCCCCCAGAGGCGTTTTACGAGACCGTTTCACTTGATGGCCCTAAAAATTCTCCTTGTTCCACTTGATGGCCCTAAAAAATCTCCTGGTGTGACCCAGCGGAGCTCCTGATGCCAGGGTGAAGTTTAACAACCTGCCAGCTGAGGATGTGGCACTTGAGGTGTCCCCTGTCCTCCTGTGACGAACAAATTCCAAGCCACAGAGCATCCTCCCCTGTGTGCTCCTCTCCTTCCCGAAATTCTCAAATAATTTATTCCCCAAATCCCGAGCGCTCTGTGCTGTTTGCCCCTGGGGGTGCCACACTCCTTTTCCTCCCCTTCTCTCATTTGTTTAACATGTAGAAATAAATGAATCTTGCTGAGTGTTCCAAAGTTTGTCCCTGAAGAGGATGGAGCAGCAGAGATCCCATAAATCTGCCTGGAAATGTCCCAAATCCTGTGGGATTTGCAGGGAAAGCACCTTGGACGTTTTACGTCCTAACCCATTCCCACAGTGTAACCCCACAGCTCCTCCCAGTTCTCTTTCCACTCAAAACTTCCATTTCTCCTCTGAAAATCTGAATTTCCCAGGTCAGCACTAAGGGAAGGCTGCCTGATCCAAAGCAGGCCAGGTTTTATCACCTCAGGGATAAAATCCTTATCAAAAAGGGCTTCAGGGAGATCATTTTCACCAAAAAAAGTGGCCCAGAGCCTGCTCAGGCCTGCAGGAAACCTCTTAGTAAATAATTTCCAAATCCACCAGACTTCCCTACACTGTAAAACCCCCAAAAAAAGTTGTAGGATGAAGTAACCTGAAGAAAACTCTTATTTTCTCACCAAAAACTTCCCCAAAACTCCTGGATTTTGGCTGAGGGGTACGGGGAGACCTCTGTCCCTCAAGGCCAAGGCCAGGCCCCACAGACTTCGCATCCCAGAGCTCTTTCCACTCAAAACTTCCCCCAGAAAGTTCCAGGATGAAGTGACCTGAAGAAAATCCTCATAACTCAATTTTCTCACCCCAAAACTTCCCCTAAAAACCTGGATGTTTTTTGGCTGAGGGGCACTGGGAAACCCCCATCCCTCAAGGCCGAGGCCAGGCCCCACAGCTCCTGACAGAGGAGCTCCATTGCTCCACTTCTGTGGTTGTTCTAAACTCCAGCAATCAGCTAAAAATATTTCAGTGCCCTGGCAGCCGATATTTTTTTTTTAATCCTGCTGTTTTAATAATTAATTTTTATTGTATTCCTCGAGCACTGCTGGAGTGGAAATCCCAGAAAGAAGCTCAGCTCGAGGTGGAAGGAACCAGCTGGGACTCCCTGCTCCAGAGCCTGGCAGGGGAGGAGAGGGGAGGAATTATTTCTGCTGAATTTTGACAATTTGCTGGGTTTGAGATGTCTCCTTTTAGCCCCACCCCTCCATCTGCTTCCAGAGCTGGGATGTGAGGAGAAAAATGGATTTCACAGGTTTTTTTTTGATGTTTTTTGCCCCAATCTGGTGTAGTTTGAATGGAATTAGTTGGCCTTGAGGGGTTTTTTGGTGGAGGTGAGGTGTGAGGAGCTCGAGCTGCTTGTGGGGGTTTCGTGGGATTCAGAAGGACAAGGATTTCCCCAAAGGCAGGAAAAGAATCAAATCACCTTTTTTAGGGCCAGTGTGCAGGGAGCAGCACGATCCCGCTGGGAATTGCTGAGCCTCAAGCTGATAAAAGGAGAAACAGGAGAAAAAAACCTGGGATGTTTCTGTGGGAAAACCGAGGCGAATTCCTCGGCAAATCAGCGCCCAAAACAAATAAACAGCAGCTCCCAAAAGCACTCAAAACACCGGGGTTTGTCCCAGCTCTTCCTTGTGAACCTGGGGCTCGGGAAAACTTCTGGAAATGCCTTTGGAGGTGGCTCAGTCGGCCCCGGAAAATCAAAATATCTTGGAAAAACTGCAAGGAATGGGGCAGGGTTTGCTTCCTCACACCGCTGCGTGATTTTGGGTGGGAATTCCAAGGGTTTGTTTTGGAGGGAGTGGGGGCTAAAGGGAGGAGGGAAAAGAAGGGAAGGGAGGGCCTGGCACTGCCCACATGTCAGGGCAGGAACCCCTCAGGGTTCGGGGCCAAATATTTGCCTGCAAAGCAAATAAAGGCCCTGGTGAGGAAAACCCAGCCCCAGAGGTGACAGCAGCGTCCCCATCCCTGATTTCCAGCGTCCCCATCCTTGCTTCCCTCCCTGCTCCCACTGCTGTAAGCTCTAAAATGATTTAATGTGATTTTTCCCCTTATTTCTCTTTCAAGTTTAATCCCTCCCGGTGCTTTCCTGCCGCTGTCAAATTCCTTTTGTGTGCTGTTAGAAACCCTCTGGATGTCACTCAGGAGCAGCTGGAACAAGCAGCCCCTGAGATGCTCTGGGATAATGAGTCCCAAATTAGTAAATCTGTTAATTAGAGCGGGGCTGAGGGCTGGGAGCAGCCCCACACTCGGGGGTTTCACCCCACAGCAGCTTTGTCCCCAAGGGGGTCCCTCTGTCCCTCTGCTCTGCTGGGGGACAGGAAAATTTGGGCCTTTCCCCCAAAAAATCAAGGAACTCACAGGAAAATTTGGGCTTTTCCCCCCAAAAAATCAAGGAACTCACAGGGAGCTGTCACATCCTGGAGGGAAAAAAAAAAAAAAAAAAAAAGGAGAATTTGGCTTTTTCCTCACCAAATTCCAGAGGAATTCCTGCGTTCAGTGTAAAGGGCACTGGGAGTTTTGTCCAGATGGAATTGGGCATCCCCAGTCACTGCTCTCATCCCAGAGTTCTCTGGGTTGTCCCAGGATTGGATGTGGGATGGATGCAGAGATGAAGAATATCTGGAGTGGAACACCAAAAACCTTTTCTGGTTTAAATTCACATCCTGGAGAAAAAAGAAAAAAAGAGAATTCAGTGCTTTCCTCCCCAAATTGGTGGCCTTGAATTGGGTTAAAAATTGGGTGAAAACAGGGTTAAAAATTCCCAGCTGATCTCCTGGAGCCACTGGGATCCAGGCTTTGTCCCCAGGCAGGAAAAGCAGGGAATTGTGCTGAATGTGCCCAAATTCCCTGGACTCCAGGAGAAAACCCCAAACCAGGGCGGGTTCTGAGCTCTAATGACAGGGTGGCAGGAATTCAGCCTGGAATGGGATCAAGGGCTGGGATTTCTGGGATTTTCAGCCCCAAATCCTTGGGATCAGAGCCCCCCACACCCCTACCAGGTGTTTTAGGGCTGGGTTTAGCAGCCCTGAGCCTCCAGCAGGGTTTAACTTAACCCCAGCTCAGGGGCCAAAGCACCCAGTGAACCACAAGCAACCAAAATCAAAAGGGAAAAAGGGAGAGGAGCAGAAGGAAAACCCAGCACGAGCCTGAGGGCGAACGATGCCCCAGGATCAAATCCCATCCTCAGAAACGCCTGGGGGCTGCTGGAATTCCTCCTGCTGGAATTCCTCCTGCTGGAATTCCTCCTGCTGGAATTCCTCCTGCTGGAATTCTGTGCGGCCACGGAGCCTCCCTAATGTGGATTGATGGCCTCAATCTGCTCTCCCTGCAGGGAAAAGAGAGCCCTGGCCCCTGATATCCATTTTTCCCCTCCCAGCAATCCCAGCCTGAGTGGGTTCCCCGCGCTGCATCCAGGAGAAAACGTCTCCATCCATCCCCCAGGCCAGGCAGCAGCAGAGGGAAGCGTTCCCACCTGATCCTCCCTCCCCTGATTGATTACAGCCACGCCAGGATTAATTGGGGAGAGTGAAAATGCTTCTCTGGGCCATCCATCT